AGTAAGAATAAATATGATTATTCAACTGAGGTAAATGACGTCATGAAGAAGAGGAGTTTGGTCGATGAAAGCCATCCATGTCAGAGAACAAAACTCCATCAAAATCATCCACCTGAGCTACAAATCTTCTCCACCATCTCGAAGAGGAGTTTTGTTTTCTTTACGATGTGTTTAGTTTCTTTTTTTTAATATGGTATCGTTATGACCTCTTCACAGTAGATACAATTTCTTGATGTTTTAGTTCAATTTTTACTATTAATTATTAATTGTCATATGAAAAGGATGAATAACAATTGGAAAGAACTGGAAAGGATTGCTCACGGCAGGGTTGGATGGCGAGTGATTGTTGGGTGGCCTATGCTCCTCAACAAGGAGCAACAGGCGTAAGTAGGTATGTAATTAATTGTCAATCATATAAATAATCATCAGCGTAAAGTGTTATCTTACAGTAATGTTTAATTGCTTAGCTTATATCACTAGGTATAGATTGATGTTAACTATCAAAGAGTTTACTTATCTGACATTCAATATGAAATGTAAGACACTGATTTTGTCAAAACAAACCTCAATTCTTTCAGTTTTACATTAAAAATATTGTAATAATTGTAAACGTAGTTCAGTCTTTTATCTATATTTCATGCATATAATAACTTCTTATTCAGTTAAACAAAATAAAAGCCGACGATTTTGAAGGAATGGAGCGATCATTCACCATATTCCTAGTATGAAACTCCTAAGCAGTGCTCATTCACGGCCCTACCATCACGCATCGATTAAAGGGTCTTTGATCTCGTGAGCGACCTCTCATTTTCTAAACCAACACCACAGCGTTGTGAATTAATTGAATCTAGATACGTATACCAGAGGATGTCGTCTTGGTGTTTAGAGATTACGAGCATGAGCACGAGACGGAAGGTCCTGTATCCAATCTCCGGTCGTGGGGTCATGGATGTTCACTGCTGAAGTCACATACAAGGATGATACAGCTGTCTAGTATATTCTTTTTTCAATTAAATAACAACACAGCCAACATCAAATGTCTGCTTAGATAGTGACTTGTAATGTTTAACATATGAATCGATCACATCATTTGATGGATGTTTATAGCTTCATCATTAAACATATCGCTTTTGCCCAGTATCCCTAATGTAACTGAACTTCATTAATAACCGCATCCTGATTACATAATATATGAGCAGTGTTTTGTGAATGTTTACAATCCAGTAATTGAATCATATGTCTGTTCTTTATTTTTACTGACCGTATTTCACAACTGCTTCCAATTCTCGTTGCAATGTGTTCTTTGGCACTTTGACGCTTGCCTCGAGATGCACTAACTTGAAATCCTGAAGGTTAGCAGAACAGAGGAAGGCCAAACAACACATTACGTTGGGAAATGGAATCGTATATGAAAAGGATGAATAACAACTGGAAATAGCTGGAAATGATTGCACAGGATAGGGTTGAGTGGAGAATGCTGATGAGCAGCCTATGCTTCTCCACGATGAGTAACAGGCGTAAGTAGGTATGTAATGTTTATTTACCGCTGAAAATTCAAAATAATTCATTATTGTGGTTTGTGCGGCTTTACAGTCAATTATGATAAATAGTAATTTGTACTTACTAAAACTTCCAGTGTTAAAGAAATACCTATTTGAATATGAAATATACCGATTGCAGTATATAATCGATTATTTAATGAGGTAAAACGTTTTCCATCTAAGATTTACTTCCTGCCGCTACCTAGTGGTGAGACGGCCTTATTGGTCAGCCTATGTTCCTCCATGCATGTTAACAGGAGTAATTCCACAACTTCGATGTATTACAGAGCGAAATCACTGTGTAACATACATCTACGGAATGTCAAATAGACATGCTGTTTGTTTGACAGGGGTTGTTTAATGACCTTTATATTTAGGCCTTCTATAGATTTTAATGCTAATCCTGTTCTTGATCAATTATGAATTAAATTAACTCTGATCCAAACAATCTTATAACAATTTTAGCTGCAGAACAAGTCCAAAATAGGATTTCGTATAATCTCTCTACATTTACTAGGGTGTAAACAAATACTCACATCGATTATAATGTTACTGGAGCCTATTCAAATTTTTGACTTTAAAGTAGCAACATTCTTTTATTTTGGTTTATTCTTTCATATAATGATGACAACACTTGAGAACATGAATCAATTGAAGCTAGACCACCATGGAAAACCTGGAAGCATCAGACATTCTTTCCGTCCTAGAATCAATTGACTCATGAACTCAAATATGAAAAATTACTATAATATCCACAAAACCCTTTCTGATATTAATCAACATATGCTCACTAGTGACTGGTTCAAGAGGTATTTCCTGGAGTTCTAGTGAGAAGCAGTAACCAGTGGAGTTCATCCGGGTATGTTGTGAGGTAATATTTGAAAAAGACAATGGTGGATGTGTCGCTCAATTTCGTGGATTAGTTGAAGTGACACATCAACATCGTTGAATGACAGCCGGCTCAATAGTCTAGTGGTTAAGTGTTCACGCACGAAACAGTCAGGTCCTCGATTCGAAACTCGCGAGACAGGATTGTGGTTGCGCAATGCTGAGAAGTTCCACAATAAGACGAAACGGTCATCCAATGCTTCTAGGTTTTCTGTGGTGATCTAGCTTCAATCAATTGATGATCTCAACTATTACAATTACAATAATAAATTTATCATGAAAGATTAAAAAAACTGTTAACCTTTTAGTGATTCCTATTTTTCTTTTTTATTATTTCTACAACGTGAGTAAATCAAATAAATTCACTTTAAAAAAAATCAATATTTCTCTCATTATTTTTGTGTATTGTTTTCTAATTAGATTACATATGTATGTATATACATGATTTGCTTACATCATCATTATTTCAGTAATGATAAACATGATTATAGTTTCCATGACAAAGATTAGAAAATGTTTTGAATGTTTAATCAATCAATAAGCGATCAATAAATGATATTAATCGATCATTATGAACCTTCTTTTTTTTTTACCAATTTACCTGTTAAAAGTAAATATTTGTTATTCATTATTTAAGATTCAACGAATTAGTGGAATTTTTTTATAATCTACAAGACTACTTAAGACTACTTACTTACTTACTTACTTACTTACTTACTTACTTACTTACTTACTTACTTATTTACTTACTTACTTACTTACTTACTTACTTGCTTACTTACTTACTTACTTACTTACTTACTTACTTACTTACTTACTTACTTACTTACTTACTTACTTACTTACGTCTGTTATCCCTAATCGAGGAGCATAGGTAATGTCGACTGTAAGATTACTGAAAACAAAGAAACAGTAGACAAATATTTATTCATTTTTTTTAGGATGCCTCATCAACGCACATTTAAGACCTAAATGGAACCCAGAAATTTGTTTATGTAGGGTACTTTTGAAATTGATAAAAATATCACTCTATATATATTGCAACATATCATGTATTAATGTCAGGTGTTTTGTGGATATTGTAGTAATTTTAAATGGTTGAGATCATCAATCAACTGAAGCTAGACCCTCATGGAAAATCTGGAAGTAATGAACGGCCGTTTCATTCTACTGTGAGACTCCTCAGTAGTGCGCATCCACAACCTCGACTTGAGACATTCAAACCCAGAACTTATAAATTCTATCAGTTCTAATCACTTTTATTTTGTATAAAATCTTTGTATAAAAGTCGATTATTTTTGTTACATAAAGCGAATCACTTTGCCGACTAACCGTTCTACTATTTTTTGTTGACATTATTTCACTAGGTCATTGTGTTAATAATCCGGCTTTCATAAGTAATCATGATATAATTTCCAACAACTGATGGCGTATCTGAAATCAAACAATCTATTCTTTGTGCTAACACACAAAGAAGGTCAATCATAGCTTGAATAGCTCAATGAATACGTCATATATTTTGAGGTAGGGTTATTCAGATTCAAATCCAATACTGGAAAAAATAGTTTACTTATTTGTTGTACTAACAAATGTCAATTAGCAAACAATCCAAGTCTTAAGTTTCTAATCAACCAATCAATGAAATATATTAAAGATCTTAAAATATCCACAATTCAACAACAACAAGATGATTCGAAAAGTAAACATTTAGGAGTTTCATTGAATTTCTGAAGTATAATTCAAATGTAGTAAAACATTTTGTTTTCCCATAAAACATTTATCATTATTTTCACTTGGTATTCATTACTTAGATCTTCCTATTGATGTTTAAGACTACAATTGATTAGTCTCTTATTGACATATGTGTATACTATGCGTATTGCCTCAATATAGCCTTTATTCAGAAGCATTATATGCAAATATGGATAATGGAATCCAGTTTGATGCGTGTTTCATCCTATTTGGGACATGGTCAGCTGGATGTACCTACATCTCACAGTTGATGTTCCCTCTGTAGCTAAGTCGATAATGTGATACTGGATTAGAGTCCTAGAGTGAACATTAACTCTGTGATGCAGGCACATCCAATATGACGAGTGTTGAATAGAACGAAATGCGCATCAAACTGTATTCCACTACTATTCACTATTCATCTTTACTTATAATTCATAATGATCTTTTAAATTATCAACACATATGAAAGAAAATCAATTATCAGTGGAATGATATTGAAAAACAAAAAAAATCAATAATGTACATAAATGAAGATGCAACAACACAAATGCATATTTTTCATGTTTTTTTTGTTTTTCGTTTTGTTTTCTTCATGTTCATATTGGTGACTCCAAACAACAAGGGCAACAGCAACAACAATGACAACAACGACAACAACAACAAAATAGTAACACTATGGAATCATTATTAAATGTACAAGTTGTTTTCCTTCTCTTTTTTTTGTTCTTTTTGTTTTACACATTTTTTCCCATGATTACGTAATAGTTGAAATCTCATAGCTACATTACTGATAGAAAAATACAAAAAAGAAATTATAATACAAGTGTGATGTCATAATTATAAGGATTTATACAAAAGGATTGAATGATTTCCAAGGAAGAAATAGATGAATTTATTTGCTTCATGGGATACAAAACTAAAGTTTTTTTGTTTTTTTGAATGAAGAAAAAGAGAAAAATATAATGAAATCGATATTATCAACAACAAAAAACAAACAAACAGGGATCTAATATTAAATGGTCAATTGATAAGGGAGAACAACAACTTGGCTACTTACTTGAACATTTGGATTATCTATTCTTGTTACCTAAATATTTCAATAAGTTATTTACCTTTTGTTTTTTAAATCTATCATTATATCTATACCATATGATATTGACTATCTACGGTGTTCCTGAGAAGATAGTCAATATTATACGGATGTCATATGATGGATTAAACTGCAAAAGAAAATGCATGCATGACAGCTAACAAAGTCGTTCAATGTAAAGACCGATTTCAGGCAAGGTTTCTTACTCTCACCCTTTCTCTTTCTCCTGATGATCGACTGGATCATGATAACGTGAACATCTCTGGAGAAGCATGGGATATAGTGGACGGCTAGGATGCAGCAGGATAATCTGGCTCTTCTATCGTAAACGCAACAACAGATGCAAGAGAAAGCAACCAGCGGTGCGTATCCACGACCCTGTCTCACGAGGTTCAAAACCAGGACATATCAGTCTCGCGTGCTAGCGCTTAACCATTGGACCACTGAGCCGGCATCCAATGATGTTATTTTATTCATCAGTACTCATCATATCATTTTATTTATTTTTTCGCACCTCTATGATCGTTAACTTCATATCTCACAACATACGTTTATTTGTGGTTTATGTTGATAATGTTATGTAGAAAGATAACAATAGCTTGATAATTAAATTACTTAATGGAATTTCTAATATGAACTATAAATCCTTGTTACTAACTCATCATAATGTAACTGGAAGGAAAGATAGTAAATCAAAATAGTCAAATAACCTGTTATGAACTAATTTAAATATTTTCCACATATAGATGACGATGTATATATACACGTATGCTTGATTACAAATTCTCTCAATCTCTGTCACACGACGTTTCGTATTATGTAAGCTCGAAATTCCACATCTTCAAACCAAATAGTGTTTACAGTAGCTGTTTTAGGTATGAGGGCAGTTGTCACTTCCTGTTTGCCCACACAGTGGAAGGGTTCACTTGAAGGTACCTTAAAAGGAAATTTGATTACAGTTGATCTTAGTGACTTGAGAGCGTGACCACAGTGTCCAATAGACAACTACTTAAAGTCGGTCACACACGATTTTTTTGTGAGTGATTTTTGTGTTAACTCCGTACTTATTGGAACCTTATTACCGGAGACGAAAATCCGTGGAATAAGGCGAGATGTGCATTTTTAGGGTCGCTCTTTTCTAACCCCACTCCTCCTTGCAAGAATTCAGCATCGCTGTTACGCTGGGTGTCTGAAGTAGATACCTTATCTGTCTGGCATGGTAGGACCTTGAGAAACGATTTTTCCTGCCAGTAAAGCTCGATTGGTTCATCATGATATTCAAGCCCGACCATCACATCAAGGTAGCAACAACGATCGGGAACTGTCGGTTTGATTAAGAATGAATGCTTTATTGCACACAGACAAATTTGCCAGCAACTTAACCCAACATTTACTTAGCTTCTAAGTCATAGTTACCACTCCAGTTCTAACATAGGTAATGTATATTTAAATAATGATTAGAAATGTATTAAAGGAAGGATGTCTTAGCCAATATAGTACTCGATATGTAAATTCCATTACAATCCGTAACTAAAATAGCCAATGATGATAACCATAATATATTCAATGAAAATAACCATAATAATAACAAAAGGGTATTAAGAAAACGTACAAACGCACACTTACCTAGAAAATGTTCCACCAACTATACAATGCCAATAAGGTTTATGTTTATGATCAAATTGTATTTTAATATATCTTGCAATTTCTTGTTCAGTATTATGTTCATCAATTGCATTTGCAGCTATATAGACAGCATCCTCTTGCATAGCACGATTCATATCAGCATCTTTAACCATGGCTACTATTTCTTTCATAATATTATTATGATTATTATTATTGACTATATATATATTGGATAAACTTTAATATTTTAATATTGATTTATAAGTAAATTATCAAGGGATAAATAAATGTGCTCAATCGTTAGAAACTATACAATTATATATCTATATCTATATCCATCTATCTATCTATATATATATATATCTCTCTATATATAGCTGATTGTAATTGCTTCCCAAACAAAACAATTTGATTTACTTAGCACAATTGTGCAACAGAACTACACAATGAAGGGTGTAACCAATCATTAAATGTATATATAATGTTAACTTATTGTTAATTTAAGGAGAAAACAAAACAAAAATAGAAGAAAGAAAGAAAGAAAGAAAGAACTCAACACCTTATGTATACACAATTGATGTGTACAAATAAATAATGTAATTTGTTGATAGACAATAAAACAAGCAAAAATGTAAACTATCTTACTAATAATATAAGCGAGTACATTCTATAGGATAAAATAAAAGTATTCATTAGAATGGTAAACAATTTGAACAATACAGATAAGGTGTGATTAATGAATATCAACTTAAAGTAATTCAGTATATAGTGAATTGTTCATTGTGCTCATTATTGATGTCGATAGTTATTCAGGAATGAAACACTTTGATTTGCTTTAGTATATACTTATATATTGGTATACAATGTATGTGACGAAATCTCAGCACGGATAGAGAAGGCTCGACTAGCTTTTGCTAACTTGCGTCATTTATGACGTAGGCAAGATATTTGTCTACCAACCAAAGGATGGGTTTACTGCGTAGCAATTCTTTCTGTCCTACTTTGTAGCAATCAAACATGACCGGTAAGAGTAGAGGATATTCGTAGGTTATTAGTATTCGACTATATGTGTCTTCAAAGCATTGCTCGTATATCCTGAGATAACCGAGTAAGTAGCGCAGTTGTTAGGAAACGGGTACTAGGTATGGATAGCAAATCAACTAATGAAGTAGTGAAACTTCATCAGTTGAGATAGCTTGGACATGTGTTACGTATGCCCAGGCACCGACTGCAACGACGTGCGATGTTTTGTGGTGTTGGAATACGTTGGAAGAAAACTAGGGGCGGTCAGATCAAGATATGGCACAAATCCATGAAGTAACTGACAAGTGGACTGTGTGAGCCATGTTGGTAGGTGTAGACTACCTGGTTGAGATCCGTGGGACGATAGCAATCGATGGTTAGAGACCTTGAATGACATGGCTCAAACGCACTACACTGATGATTGGAATCAGACATGAAAACAATGAATAGGAACTGGGAACATGTGGAAGGGATTGGTCAAAATATAGTTGTTTGGAGAATGCTGGTTTACGACCTATGCTTCACCACAAGAATTAACAAGCGTAAGTGATAAGGGATCCAAATGACTTTCAACAAACTACATTCATTAAACATAGTCGTTAAGTCGAAATGAATACCTGGAAATCAGTTTATCATAATTAAATTGTCTCATATATTACATAATATTCCAATTCATTTTTTTTATGTTGCTTTATTCATCTTGATTATTTGTCATATAATAAAGAAATCTCGGCAAGACTATAATTTATGGACGAACCAATCAGATATAAGATTACAGGTCACAAATTTTGATGGAGTTTTGTTCTCTGACTAAACCATCCATTTCAGAGAACAAAACTCCATCCAAATCATGCAGTTGATCTACAAATCTTCTCTATCAGATCTCGGATTTTAAAGCAAAATTCACTCATCCATTTGGTTAAATAGAGTTTTGGCATTATAACTGATGTCAATTTCGTGATGAAAACCCTGAATCGAATTCCTCACACTCTTTTATAACCCTCATTTGATCCTAGTTATTATTAGTAGGTGGACATTCTCAAAATCACTTTATCATCACTTAATAGTCGTCCATAAATGATAGTCTCATTGAAATCTCTAATCATTTAATCCATTTATTATTAATTAAATAAAACAGGATTTATATTAAAAACATGAATATACTACTTACTATCTACTCAAATCTAATAGAATAATCTTGAAAAAAATCACTTTATTTAATTTTTTTCTATGAAAGTATTCTATCATTACATAGAACTATTTATATATCATCATACTGTAAATGTATTTAATCTATCAAACACGTAATCATAATTAGTATCTATTCGGGTATATCATTATTCGTTTCTTCATAGTAATTAATTAACACCTCTTCAACATTGTTATGTAATAAACATAGAAGATTAAATTTCTTCTTTTTTTTCAATATTGTAAATTTGCATTATTGATCATTGTGATTAATTTCATATGGTGGTGATGATGATAGATATTTTTCTTTCTTTTTTCTCTCTTTTTTTTGCTTTTGGTTACTAATTTTAGAAAATCTTTCAATCAAATAAATGACATGGTTACTAGAATCAAGTGAATAGGAGTAAGTAAAAATAATAAACGTATATTGATTTTGTATCATATAAGAGGTTTTGTGGAGATTGTAATAATTTCAATAGTTGAGATCATGAGTCAATTGAAGCTAGATTATCATGGAAAATCTGGAAGCAATGGACGACTTTTTCCTCTGTAGCGTGACGTCGAGTCGCGGTTGACTATGATCACCACTACAAGAAGACTACGTGCCAGTTAACCGATAAAATCCCCCATAGACCAAATATCAGATAGCAGTTGATGGCTGTAGTCGAGATGTATTTGTTGGCAATCTCGTGGTATCGAAAGAATACCGAGATCGTGCCAAATGAGGACAAGTGTGGTTACTGAGCGTAGCCGAAGTCGTGCAAGGTCACAATCAAAGGTAAGAAGAATGTATGTATTTTGGTACAGTTAAACAAAAAAGTGCAGTAAAACAATCACCGGTACAGTTGGTTATAATAATTGTTTCCATTAAACCAATCGCGTTCTCTTGATAAAAGTAGGTCACTACACGTTGTCTTGTGGGACTCTTCAACAGTGCACATCTACGACTATGCCTTGCGAGATTCGAATCCAGGATCTATTGATTTAATTGAAAAAAAGTTTTGTTTTTACATGCAAATCAATAATCTAATCCCTAACGCTGAAAACAAACTTTAATTCAATTGGAATAAAATGTTTTTCTTAGAGAATTTGAAACTTTATTTTACGTGATGTTTGGAAAGTGGAACGCTGAATTGTAAAACTAAATAATTTTGGGGGGAGATTTTGAACTCTTCCCGGATGCAATGAAAGTTTAATCTTAATATCTGTAGTATAGAAAGATATCGTCAGTTGTTAGTCTAATCATGGTGCTTTCGAAATGGACAATGGAACAGTGAATTAGAAGTGGGTTGATTAGTGTTTTCATTAATACAAAATCAGTTTACCTACGAAATTCATCATTTAGCTTCAACTGGATGTCCAAACAACATCAAAGAAGTAACTTCTTTGGATGATGCCTTAGAAAATCGACATCATGTCTGATGTTTTTAATGTGTCCACATAGGATGAAGGTTTTTACGTGTTTTTTAGACAGGACAATAATGAGATAGCATTTTTTGGTCACGCTGATATCAGATTTTATAACTGAAAATTTAAATTAGTGGATTGTAATGAGTTTGTTGTGCTGATCCTTCACTGGTTGCAGACGTTCTGTTGTGGTGTGTGCTAGTGATAGATATAAGTAGTATGTATCATCAGTCGAAAGTGAAATGTCTGGCGGCAGAAGGTTAAGAAGGTCGAAAGAAAAAGGACGAGTACAGGAAATGATTGGTGTGGAAACGAAGGAATAATGAAGTCTGAAACGATTGTTTGATATTTTGCAAATGAAGTATTTACTGCATTATTCTCAGATTTTATTAAAATGATCTGTAATTTTATGTACAAGTACACTTAGTTGTCCCCAGTTGTGTTCTCGTTCAATACACTGTCAGTCATTTAGCAGTAGGAAATATGTGAGGTGAAGAGAAGCAATTTCCTTGTGTAGTTCAAAGAGGTGATATAGCCGGGCGATAAAAGACCAATATGGTTTAATGCATTCGTAAATGTCTAGACTAATGACTGATTCATCTTTTATACTCCTCAGGAATTTTGTTAACTTATAAACAGTTTGTTGTGAAGCATTTTTGAGAATGTTTTCCCGAAAGATTTTATTGGTATCCGACAGAATGTTAGATGCTTTGGTAATATAGTACTTATAGCAACTCACGTGCAATTGAGTTTGTTCTCATTTAACTCAGTTAAACGCTTTTGTTAACTTATTTAGCGGACAAAGTCATCCGCACTATAACAACTTATTGCACCTTTATTATTGTTGTGCTCGTATGAAATATGTATGCTTGAACATTGCTTACCGCCTACACATATATTCATTCTGCTAGCTTTATTATAAGCTGCTTAATTGATTCGATGATCCATTCATTTCCCTATATAGATACATGTATATTTAACACTCTACACTCTCGGTTCGCTGACTCATTCATTTGCCTCTCTGCCATGTGATCTGAGTTATCTGCTAATAAAACTGTAGTCTCTGCTTCTCTTTGCCTTCTGATTTCAAACACCGTTGAGGATTATATGATGACGGTTACGAGGGTGATTGGTCAACAAAACACAGCCACTACATACTTATGACTGAGTTGTGGGCAGTGAGGTATTAGAGACGTATTTCTCAGACATTTTCAAGAAAAAATGTATTCTTTTGTTGATTTAAAGTTTCTCACCAACCTCATACTTTATGTCTTGTAAACGCTTCTTTGAAACTGCGTCTACGCACATATCAAATCTGTCCCAATCATAATCAATTGGTTTTAAAAGCGTTTATAAAACAGTCTATTCCTCCACTTATAGGTTGATTGTCAAAAGATCGTGTTAATGACCCATAACTCCTGTACATAAACCGTATAGAAAGTGAGCCAGATACATAAGGATGGATTAATATATTTGTTGGTGTTAACTTTAAACTGACTGAGACTGTGACGGCAATGAACTCTTCAATATACCGTAAGATATTTATCTTAAAAAAATGAGAAATTGATCAAGT